AAACGTGAGGTACCAGATTACCTTTGTGGGAAGATTAGTTTTGAATTGATGAGAGACCCGGTCATCACCCCCAGCGGTATCACATACGATCGAAAGGATATCGAGGAGCATCTACAGGTTGGTATTCTTCAAATTTTCCAAGATTAAAATGGATTTCATTTCAATTTTTTTTTTAAAGATATTCTCACTGCAAAGTAATGTCATGATAATATAACTATATCCACATAAATTCAAAGTGATTTATTTATTGTTGCATCTATGTAAAAGTTTTTGTCGAAACTTGTCCCACAGGAAAACATCACAATTAAGATTTATGTTGTGTTTTTAGCTATTACATGTATGGTAGCTATGTTGAAACAAAAATTCTTGATGTCAGAAAGAATAGATAAGACCTCCTGTTATTCTCTGCAAAACTTTGCACATTGCAAATTTGCATGCAATTTTCTCTCAAATAAATCAGAGTATTTCCGTTCTGAAAAATCTTAATGTGTTGAATGGAAATGCTACTGCTTTACTGGCAAAATTATCCTGCACTGTCTTTGTTTGATTGAATTTCGGACCAAACCACAATGGCAAATGAATAGCAAAAAAATGCAAATGTCTGGATTGACAAGAAATAAAATGCATGTATTAGGAATTCAAAAGCAATACTTATTACATACCGGTAATCACAAAGACTTCATTAACATTATAAGCTAAAGCAGTTTCATTGGCTTTGTAATTCACATTTGAAATGGTTAACATGACAATCACATTTTTATATAATCTGAACATAAATTCTACAGGCAATAAATTATTAAAATTATTCTTAACTGTATCTCTGGAAAGTCTTCGCAATTATGTTTTTTGTATTTGCCAAGTGCTGTAGAGTAACAAGTATATAACAGGGTTATGCTCATGAAGGTCCATACATGTATGTGTGGTAATGTGTTTTTTTTTTAATTTCTTTTCAAATATACAGTGGTCATTGTTTTATACTCAGAAAAAACAAAAATATCATTTTAAATTTCATATCAACTTTTGTATTACAATGAGCTTATTTTGTGGCTCTCTCTCTCTCTCTCTCTCTCTCTCTCTCTCTCTCTCTCTCTCCTCTCCCTCTTCTTCCCTCTCTATCATTTCCTATTCTCCCTTTACAGAGAGTGGGTCATTTTGATCCAGTGACCCGTTCTAAACTGACCCAAGACCAGCTTATACCCAACCTGGCGATGAAGGATGTCATTGATACATTCCTGTGTGATAATGAATGGGTGGAAGAGTTCTAAGACATCCTATATGGATCACTGATGCATTCTTATAAGACTGAATGGGTGGAAGAGTTCTAAGACACACCTATATGGATTCTTATAAGACAATGAACGAGTAGAGTTCCTGTAGAGTCAACCTGGGTTTACTATGAAGGTCCATGTAGGTGATATGCAGATATATGGAGGGAAGTCCGAGTCACTTTTACCCATCGACTACGCAAGATGATCCTCTGCGATTGTACTCTAATGTCCAATAGACTGGGAAGGCACAATAACTATGGATTTTGACACTGGAACATTGAAGCTGGACTTCATGACAATTTGTGATGCTGTCCAACACGAGATGAAGTGGAGGAGTCTACAGAATGCCCTAAAGCTTGTACTATATTAGGAATACGTATCGGCACAATGCTCCTCAATGATTGCAACCATGTCAGCTGAAAGTAGGCAAAGGTGCATCAGTGTGCAGCACCAAACAGACTTTTAGTACAAAGATATTAATCACTCAATTTCATTATTTTGCTCTCTGATTTGCCTAGACGCTTATCCAAAATTCATGATGACTGGCAGTTCAATTAAATAATTCAATTCTTAATGCCTGTTCAGTAAGTTTGGGTATTTGGTATACCCCTCCAACTCATTAATGATACTAGGATCATTTTGTGTTGTGTATCCTGTTGAAGCCTATCTGCACTAGTTTGGCCAAGAGGGATTAGACTTTCCTGCAAGGTCACTGACAGGTGGTTATCTCATCAAATCAGCTCTCAATTAACATAAGAAAAAGGGGACCGTGGGGAATCAACGGGTACCGCTTAGGCATTGTTGGCTGTATAGAGGGCGCAAGTAGCTACAAGTAGTGCAGTCCCGCTTTAAGGCATTTAACTACAGCCTGACACCAGTACCAATGAAACACATAATAACAATGTGTGCTCTGTCAACCAAAGAGCAACAAAGATGGCATGATTAGGTTGAAAAAATGCTTCTACCGATACTTAATTCATTCAACTATTTCTAACTTTATTCTAGAAATCAGAAGATGGATTTCATTGTCACAGACTCCTTACATGACAAAACCCTTTAAATTTAGATTTCTATTACCAAACAATTTTGGCCATTTTCACAGAGTGATACATGTAGCACATCCTTGACTTTATTGAAGTTTGGTTGTGGCCCCACCCATCATTCCAGTATACATCTTACTATTCCATCACCCAAGGCTCATTGATCAGTATATGTATTCCATGGTCCAATATGAATATCAGTCTACCCCATCACCCCCACCCCCCCCCCCCAAAAAAAAAAAAAAAAAAAAAAAATTACCTGTTGATCTTCATGAACTTTAATAAATTCATATGATTTAATGGGTACATATATTTAGAATAATTGTTTTATTTTTCCTCTATGAAGTTTATAACTGGTAACATAATTTATCGTTGAATATTTACGATATGTTCATTTATATTACATACATATAGCTATTGGAGAGAGATACTTTCTGATTGCATATTTATTTTGAAAGAGTGTTTAATGTCCAGAAGAAAAAAATGTTTGAAACTACAAGAAGAATTTTTTTTTGTTTCTGTCTAATATTGACTGTACTACTGATATAAACAAGCACAATTGTGTTCTTTGTAAAGTGAAGGTAATTCAAAGTATTTTTTCCCGAATTACAAAATGCTACGTAATAATGTACCATAACCAGCATATATTAATAGGCAATTTAGCTAGATGAATACACGGCAATTCAGCTATTCAATTTTTCCTTAAACCATTGATAATTTGAATGAGAATGAGGAATACTTGAGATTTAGAATGGACTTCCAGTAGAAACTAAATTGAGATTTAATTTGTAACATTCTTTTTGAAAATGTGAACTCTGCAGGAGTGGATGAAAAAAAAAACAATGACCTTTGGCATTAAATTGTTTTTAATTTGTTCTCCTTATTCCATATTACTGATGTTGAAATGTTATGATTTCTTGTAACAATAAATCAAGTAAGAATTCATTTTGGATCAATATCGGAGTAAAAACTATTCCAAGCAACTTCATATTTCTCCTACAAGATAGTCAATTTTCTATCCAAATACATTTAGGGAATCTCTAGGAATACAATAGGATTTGTTTTTGCAGATTTAAAAAATCTAATATGACATCAGGGATTCTTTTAGTAGAATTGTGCATTTAAATAGAGAAATATGGAGAAATGTGTAAACATTTGACCCCAGAGTAGTCAATTCTTAATTTGTCCTTGGACCAAGGGACAGCACCTGTTATCCTCAGGAAAAGGCATTGTCTAAATATCGTTATAATCCTCCTCTTCTTCTTTTTCTTCTTCCTCTTCTTCTTCTTTTTCTTTTTTCTTCCTTCTTTTTCTTCTCCTTCTTTTTCTTCTCCTTGTTCTTGTTCTTGTTCTTCTTGTTCTTGTTCTTCTTGCTCTTGTTCATCTTCTTCTTCTTCTTTTTCTTCTTCCTCTTCTTCTTCTTTTTCTTTTTCTTCTCCTTCTTTTTCTTCTCCTTGTTCTTGTTCTTGTTCTTCTTGTTCTTGTTCTTCTTGCTCTTGTTCATCTTCTTCTTCTTTTTCTTCTTCCTCTTCTTCTTCTTTTTCTTTTTCTTCTCCTTCTTTTTCTTCTCCTTGTTCTTGTTCTTGTTCTTCTTCTATTTCTTCTTGTTCTTCTGTTTCTTCTTTTAATTCATTTTCTTCTTCTTCAAATGCGGATTCTTCTTAGCAGATGAGCTCTTGCTTTGAAAATGGCCTCTTTTCAGGGATACATTAAACCCGGTAATGTTCACAGGCTTCTTACCCTAGTTAGTTAAGGAATGATAAGATCTTCTTCCTGAAGTATCAAAGTCGAGCCGATTGATGTCTAGCCGGTTGATGCCAAGCCTAAGGGAATGATTACTGTCTGATGTCTGTATTAGTGTTTCCGATTCCCTGGAACCTGAAATGAAGAAATCTAGGTTGCTTGTCTGAATCCTGATACCAGTCTCAAGGAGGGTTCCCTTGGACATTCATCTATAACAGATCTGTACTTCAATATCATAGTCAATCCCTCTATACATTATAGCTCAAACATTATATCACAGCATCATGTGCATGTCATGGAATCTGTTGAAATTCACAGTGGACACAGTAGAAAAGAAAAATAAAACGCTAAGAAGCGTTCAGCTTTTTTTTCCCCAGTCAACATAAGAACTTTAAAAAACAAACCCATTTTCGTTTTATTCGTTGTTACCGGTAAGCATAATGTATACCATGTGGATGCATATGCCAAATAAACTCAGACTTCTACATTGAACATTTATTGATGCTGTTAAGATATGGGTTAGAAGCACCATCCCTAAGTGATAGATTTCTTTGGGTGAAGGGAGTGATATGTCTTAATATTATAGTGTATTATTTCTATGTATACATTTTGTTTTCTTTTTTTCTACTATGAGTTGCATGACTTGTTGCCATCAAAGCTGATGAAGAGCAGCCTGTTAGCCATGTCAAAGTTAAATTTCATTTTAGTTTGCTTTAAAAAAAAAAGGTTAATTGAAAGTACAAAATTACTGGATTAAAAGGTTACAATTTATAAATCAAATACTCAGTTACATCTCTCTTAAATCTGTCCATGTTGAGTGCGGGGGGGGGGGGGGGGGGGGGGGGGGATCAGCCGGGAGGGACTTCTATAATCGGGATATTAATGAAGCTCTGTAGGAGACCTAGGGACGGCTACACAGTACGGGTGTGCAGTCACCAAAGATCTTGTCCGTGTACTGGACGACACTGGGTGGAGAATACTACCCAGCTCCAGAGAAGTCTTGAAAAAAGTACTACCGATACATACTAAGTTTAATTTTAACGACTATGACATGTGTAAAATCTTTAAGAGACTGTGTTGGGCTTGCTTTTATTTACAGTCTGCATACATGTCCAAAAGTATCCTTCGGATGTCATTCATGTAAACGGCTATTGCCCAATATCAATATTGATTAAAGCATAGACTTTTCAGGGAGTGCCAGCTTGTTTATTTTCACTCCTGTCCACCCACCCTGCCCTATTTTATAATCAGATAATCGCACGGAATAAACATAAAATGTGGATTTCCATTACTTACCGCAGGTGGAAATTGAGAAAATATGATTTTCCTTTTTTTCCCCTTTTAAGTTTGGCATGAGATATGTTTTCATCGCAGTGATGAAAGGGTACATGGTAAGTAATTGGATGGATGTATGAAATGTGCACCTCCGGCACATTTTCAGTTTATAGAAAATGAATTGTTATTTTTGCTGAAAAGGGAGCAATCTTGAGGTAAAAGGATCCTGATTGAAGAAATATTCTCACATGCCTGTAAGATGAATGCTTTTCAGTCTTCTTCTGGGTGGTTTAGTGTGATATTTAGTTTACACCCGGTACATATCAAGATATATAGGGCATACACTGCTGATATAGAAAGACTGAAGTACTCGTATGTCAATGTCAGAAGTGGGAGAGAAAGAAAGAGTGTTTATCTAACCCTTGGGGCTATTCTCTCTATCTTTGCAACAAGTTTATCTGCTTCAACAAATGGGAGAGTAGTCAGGTGGAAAGGGGAAAAAAAACTCTTTGAGCTGAGGCGTAAAGGATGTAGAGCAATCCATTAGTAGACAGAACCCCCGAAGGAGAATGATCTACATTCTCAAAGCTAAAATTGGATGTTCAACCTGGGGTTCTCCGACTGGAGAAATTAATTCAGTCTTCATGTACATCTGTTGCGGATCTTATATCTTTAAAAAAGAACAATTTAGTGATTTGTTGTTTTCTTCCATGTCTTATCTAAGAAATTTGTATTTTCTGAGCATATATATATATATATATATATATATATATATATATATATATAGGCCTACCTAGTATTTTGGGTTGTCCCATCATGATTTATGACCTTCAATTCAAGTACTATTTTGGTATATAATCCTGATATTTAACAGATATAATGTTCATTTTCATGAATTTAACAGAATAATTATTTATCTATTATCCCACAAATCTTGTAAGAGCTACAAGTTAAAACAATCAAATGCAACTCAAGTTTCCGAAAGTCATAATTACTGATTTGTGTCTTTATAGATGGGAATTGGTTTAATTATGTAAATCACATCTGATTCATGCAAGAGACAGCATTCCTCCATCAACTGATATTAGCTGTAATGATGAGCATGTTCAATTAATTCTTGGCCAGACTTTACAAAGATTATGAAAATGAGGGGTGGGTTTCTTAGGCATACACGGCACACAATTTTCAGTACATTGCATTTTATAAAGCAGCTTCTGTATTTAATTTTTTATATGTTGTCACATTCAAGTAGAATATATTCTACGATTTGACCATGAATTATATACTTGGAATATACATGTTTGTGGCATTACTCTGCTGATGTGAGATGAGAAAAAACAATTATAAATTCATCAGTTAGGTATATAAAAGGGTGCTATATTGACCAACAAGAATTAGCCCTATTATTCAGCCATTAACTAAAGTTGTAAAATATTTCCTCAATTTGCTTCTCAGAATTGGCACCGAAACAAACACAATACTGCAGTGGCTGTGGTGAGACTTTCCTCATTCTGATGTGAAAAAACAAAAAATTGAGGAGAAAGAAAAAAGAAAAATAGGGGCAAACATCCCCCCCCCCCACTACCACCACTCCAGGGCCTTGTTCTTTTGCACTTTACATATACATCAAAATAGTTTTGATGTCCCCCCCCCCCCCCCCAAGAGTGGACCTACTCTACAACTCTGTCTGCTATAATGTTAGACTACATACATGTATCTACCCTACAGACATATTTCTATTTGCAAATAAGGGTATTGACATTCTGCAAGTAATTTTGTTTACAGAAAAATCCATCCGTTTGGAGGAGTTTTTATAAAAATATATTTTGTTTACACTCTCCTCCAAAACTTTCAGTGAAGACAGACGTATTCCAAAAGTTACATATCCCAGACTGAAATAGAACGAGTTTTTTAGTCTAGGAATTTTGTTGAAATGTTTACAGCTGTTTGGAAGAGTGATAATGTGATATGCACTATATAAGAATCGCATATTATTATTATTTGTTGATATGAAATGTACATATCTAATAAATCATATGTCACTTTCCAATGTAAATAAACTTAGGTATATATTTATGTTGTGTATAAAGATTAATGATATCGATTACATGTAAAGGTATACAGCTGCATTGTCAACAGGTTGTTAAAAATTGGTGGATGAAAAAAAAAAAAAAAAAAACATGAGACATTATTGTGTTATAATATGAAACAGATACCGGCAATAAAGATTGGATTGTCAAATTATGTTCAGTGCTAATTTGTATTCATTGGTTTAGAAGGAAGAAGTTGCCAGGGTGTAATGGTTGAGTGGTTTAGAGCTTGGGTCCTTGAATGAGGAAGGCCTGGATTCAAACAGCAGTATGCTATTTTCCCCGGACAAGGCAGCAATGACAAGTCCCTTATAATCATCCGAGGCATATTGCTCTGGAATCCTAATAAAGCTGAAGATAGCTTTTGAGAGTCCTGGGACCTGTTTCACAAAGCCTTTTTTCAATGATAAATGACAAAAACCAGTGACAAATCTGCTGATAACCAATCAGAAGCAAGGATTTTCACTAGCTTATAACAAGAAATGTCATTTGTCACTGATGACAAGTTTTATGAAATGGGGCCCAGGATTACCTTGTAATAATTCAGTTAATCATGAATCATTCCACTATATCACGAAACTTGCACAAATCTTCACCACTCATGTATTTCGCAATACCAAAACACAAAAGAATCGAAGAGACTGAGAGCCAAAATTATGATTATACAGTAAGTTTTATTACAATCCCGATCAGAGAGAGGAAACAATATTGTCATAACTACATCAGAACATGATAATTCAAAAAAATTGGGCATGTTAGATTATTGATTTTTAGCTTCTGGTATAAATTGAATAGTTTTCACAAAATAAATGCGTCTATAAAGATTCAAGCGTTATCCTATTCATCTTCTTGAAATTTTGGGTTAATAAAAACAGTTAAATTCACACAAGTTTCCATTATCATTTTACCCCCCCCCCCCATCATATTCATACATGTATATATCCATATTTTCTACATTATAATTCTATTGGTCTGTGTAGCATTAGCTCAAAAGCATAATAATGTACAAATACATGACTAAAACAGGAAAATAATCACCATAGCATATAGGTAGAAAGGGTTAATTTAGCTTTATATGCATGACTATAAATTATGAAACAATGCCAATTTTACACTGAAGCTTTCAAAACGAGAGGACAGGATGAACCATCCATCCCTCAAAAAGTTTGGTTTAAAAAGCCTGTTTATGTCAAGGTGGCATGAAAAAAAATTCACTTCAACCAACGATTTGTTTCGTATTCCATCCCAGCAACACCAAAATGATTCTAAATGTTGTTAATGAAGATGAGAGAAATAGCATCCTCTGAACTAACTACATATACAAGTAGATGATATCATGATTACTTCAAATAAGCAGACTATAAACCAAAAAAATAAAAAATAAAGAAACAATGTTTTACCATTCAACCCAAGATCATAATAATTTTCTTGCATCCTAAAATGACTTAACCGCTGCATCATTACATGAACAAGCCATTGTTTGACTCTTCATGAATAGCTTTGTATTTCAACAAATTCTCTCATTATTACTTGAGATATCCATACCCCTCTTCATCATCAATAGACATTAGATTTCATTAATATAAACATTAGACTACTGTATTCACATCATATGCTCAACACTGGTCGCATCGTCAATTAACAGCCAATGTGGCACGACACTCCAAATCTTCTGTTAGACAACGCCTACATAAATCCTCTGCATTTCAATTGGAAGGCTAAAACCACAAAGTCGGGATATAATTTCAAGCTCTTTTTCACCGATAAGGAATGGTGATGAAGTCATTACTAAGACTACAATTCTCAAAACCAACACTCGTATCTCTCCTTTCTATCATCATGTGGAATGAATAGAACATGAGACCAAACAAAACAAATCTCTCAAACCACTCCATTTGTACCAGACATGCAACAGAAAATACGCTTCAATTAAAACCCATGTTTCAATCCTACATTCATGAAGGGTGAAAGAAAAAGAGCATTCAATTTCATTCCTAAATTTGTTATATTACCATGGAAATATTACATGTAAATCTTTCTCCAATATAATTACCAATCTATTGCAAGGATCACAACATGTCCTTACTTCTTCATCCAAAAATCTGTTAGTACTCTATAATTAAACCAATAGCATAGAAATAAACATCAAATATCTTTGAAATAATAATAAGCAAGCAAGAAATATTTATTCAAAAAAAAAAAGATTACATGGATTAGTCATATATGTATATAGATTACCTATGAAGAGACCACCCTTTCAATTTCTTTTTTTATCCAATAAATTTACAAGCTCGCCAGAGCAGAAAGAATTACGTTAATAACTTTCTATTTTTTATCTCAATCAGAAAGAAAACAAAAGGAAACAAAATTTTGTTGCGAAACATTTTTTTATCATTATTTTATAGATAGGCATGGCGCTAACATAGAGAAATACAAGATTAAATTTTAAATTCTTATCAAATATCTACAATTTCTAATAACATGTCCCATTACTTCTTTTTACGATCCCTTTTAGCCATAATAACAAAAAAATAAATGTTAAAAGTACATGAAGTTCTACTCTAAAATCACTTTCCAAATCACACTAAGTAGTAGGAATAAATTCATATCACAACTCCTAAACAAAAATAATATGCATTACAACGCTCAGGGAAGCACTGATCTATATTTACCATTTTGCAAATTTAAGCTGTCACAAAAATCATAATGAATTTAGTCTACGTAATACATACAGCAACACTACCCAAATATTACAAAACTGCTCTGAGCTATAACCTTTCAGAAATATATAGATGTTAAGGCTTGCATACACAAACATATAATCATAGATAACATAAGTTTTGCTCTTTTAAAATGTAGAGATATGATAAATGGATCTTTATCACTCTCATATCATTGATTGGGGGCTATTTGTGAATCCTATCATAATGATTTGAATTCAAGAAGAGAAATATATTGAAGATAAGAAAGACTATTGCTGATACACTTTGTTTGATTTTCCATTCCTCTCCAAGGAAATATAAGCTGGAAAAACTGCATATAATTTCTTATCATTTCTGAACCACCACAACCACATATATTGGAATTTTCTCAAAGGACAAGAAAACATACAAAAAAGGATTATTTCCAGGAAACCTGTTGCATTCTTCCAATCTCCCATTTAAAAAAAAAGGTGCCCTTCTTGTTAAAGATGGCACTTGACAACAATATTAACATTTTTTCAATCATTTTGAATGATGCTATGAAAAAAATGAAAAATTTGATAATTCAATGATACACATACATTTTTAATTACACAAGACACAATTTCCTGTTAAAACGCAGGTTCAATGTTGGTACGTTTATCCTGTCAAAATGTTGACACAATACAAAAAAGTAGAAACAGGCAAAAAAATCTTGAGTAACTTTACTGATCCCTATCCTTTCTTGACAAGTAAGTTTAGTAAATTGTTCTTCAACATAGTTGTAATAATAAGTATTTTCAGACAAATTACTTTCAATGTAGATCTGGGAGCTTTGCTGGCTACATTATTTTTAAAAGGAGCTCAATATAGAACAAATGGTTTAATTATACCTGCTACAATCCTAGCAAAGTGCCTGGTCACCACAGTCCTCTCTTTATAAACACCAGAGCTTTTTATATTTGTGAGGTTTTATACAAATCAATGAAAATAAATCCCCTTACATCACATGGACAATCACCCAAATACCATTACATACCATCGTAATAAACTTCTTTCTTCTTGATTTTGAATCTAATATCATAATCACTTTGGTAGATTTCTACAGCAATAAGGATAAATGCATACACGACAAACATGTAAAAATTATAATATATATATAGTTTATACAAGAACAGTCTACGAAAAACATCCTCACTCCCCTCGAGCAGTTTGAAGAGTGATAAAAAAATGTTTGTAGTATCAACCAAAAAATCACCTGATTAATCAAGAGTAGAGTATTCAATCATTTGTTACATTAGAAAAAAAGCTTTAGTTACAAAGCAGAAATAGAATAATATTGTTTTCAGAGCTTTGGAAATGGTTTTGTTTTGGATAGGGGGGTTATTCAGGGACCTCGTCTGAACCTGTGCCGTCGACCCCATCGTTAGCTGAGCTACTGTCCATGGCGGAGCCCCTGGGTGCTCTACTGGATCTACCTAGGAGTCTAGAGGATCCTCCACCGGACCTGGAGACAGGGAGGAGGAGACGGAGGGAGACAGGGAGACAGGCAGGGAGAATCAGAGATCAAGGAGATGAGATGAAAGAAAGAAAACAAAACAATTAGAACATGATACAAGGATTGATACATTAAATAATTCACCTGACCTGAATAGGAAAATCATCAGTCCACTAATATTCTTTAAAAAAATGAAAAAACAAAATATCACTTTTGAACAGACCATACCTTGCTATTGACATGATTAATTTGAATGCAATGAAAGTGGACATTTTGGTTTCTTTTGGTAAAAATTATAATATCGTGACCAAGAAACTGATTCCATTTGATCTTTCATGCTGACATACAATACAGGCAGATTTTTGGACAATTGACAAACTGAAATATACATATAAACCAACAAAAATGACATATTTTCTATCATTCTTTTTTTCTTCTTCTTCATTTTTTTCTAATTTAGAAGAATTTTTATGTACAAAGAACAAGATCCTCTCTTCAATATACAGACAATACTTATTTCTAGAAAGAATATTTGAAACTTTTGTTCTTATAAATGCAAGAATGATATAAAAAACATACAGAATCTTAATAGGTAAATATATATTTGTAATATGAATTAGCTGCTGTGCACATAGCCATATATTAAATGCAGTTGGTGATTATTAAAATGATCTCGACCTCCATGTAGTTCTTTTAAGTCTAATATCCGTGCACTTAAACTTAAAATTGACAACAGCCTCTATGCATTATGCTTAAATAAATCATTCAGAAGTAAAATCTTGCATCTTCTTAAATGAAAAGCATAACCACTGTTAATATCAAGAGAGTATGAAGGTGAAAAAAGGGTAACTTTGGAAAATAAAATATTCTTAAATAAAATTTCAAAGATACAAAGTCATAAAGATTGAGGAGAAATTTTTTTTTCACTGTAACCAGATCCCTTCACATATTGAAATGATATCAGAAAAATCAGGAAAATATTCTTCTATATTTTTTGTTAATGTCTTGGTAATTTCCCCTAATTTGTTAAATTCCATTAGTCTGGATATGTATGAGCACAACTCTGGTTACATGTTAGCTTTCATGCTATAATCAAGGACGTATTTGGTCATTACCACTCTGTTAGGATAATAACATTTGTTTGGATCGTTTAGCTTTGCTCTGGTAACTGTAAAGCTTGGTTAATATTTGTGTCCATATTCCCCACCAAAAGTCTTCCAGAAGCATATAGGATTGCAATATGGGAGGATAGTAGATATTCACCTCAAAGCCCAAATACCAATTAAAAAATTGTGTAAAAGTCATGAATAATAAGCTTTCTCTCGAGTTATGGTGTTTGACATTAACAGACATCCTTTATCAATCAACGTGTCTTTCCTGAATAATTCTGGAAGTAGAATAGTGTTGTATTAAAATCAGGCATGATTGTAAATAAATAAGTTTCATCTACATTAAATGTGGAATGATTAAATTATAAATTACATGTACATGGTCATTAATTAATTAATTGGTAATATGTAAAAACTTATGTACATGCTATAAAAAAATAATACAAATAAAAATATGTGTTGATCTGGAGGAAAATAATGGCGAAGACTACTTCCTGGGGGAAAAAATTGTATGACTACTAGTAAATTGACATGAATTCTCTTTATGAAATAAATCATCATAATGAATAAAACAAAGTTCAGGCAAAAGTAGTTTGTCAATGATAAAGTTTGTTACATGTGTGTTCTTGGCTACTATATGTACAGTATGTAGATGAAATAATACTAATTTTAAAAATCATATTCTAGAATAAATTACAAAGATTAAACCTATAAACAGTGTAGAATGAAGTGATCAACTAAAATTGAATTGAAGCAGAATTGCAATATGCAGGTACTAGATAAAAAATAATAACAATCCTGAATATCAAATCCAATAATGTAGGATAGTGTGAGAAAGTAACAGCTACCTTGTTTCACCGCACTAAGTTGAATTTTGAAGAAGAAAAATCAGAACCATAGAAGGGAAATTCATTAAAATAATGCATTATATGCGTCTTCAATTCGCAACATACATGTACAAATATTTCTCTACAAGGAACAACAACAATACAGAAACTGTTTGGTATCAAATGAGGAAAGTCCAAAATATTTCTTTAAACTAGAAACATTCATGGACACTTTGATTGCAGACAGGTTGTTCTGTAGAACCACATGATGACTCAACACTGTACAAGTCATGCTTTCATATGAGCGATATCCAATATTCCGCTACACATCGGCAAACGCACAATATCACTAAATATTACCCAAAAGCTGTCATTCTGGAATTACAAGGATAGTATAATCAAGGCATTCCCTTCCTATACAAATCCATAGCTCATTATATTCATATGTTCAGCCCTTTGCATCCAGGGGTGTGTTTCACAAAGATCCTAAGTTGAACTTATCTCTAATACTTTTTTCACACTGGTTTTGCTTAACCCCGTACTATCCTTAACCCCGGACTATTTTGTTTAGCTTTTCACACACGCTGTTTTTATTCCCGTACAAGCGCCTATTCCGGAATTTTCACGCTGTTCTCACTGCAATTCGTCAACCCCGGATATCATGAATGTTATGATTGGACATACTTCGCATCTGGCCAGCTGCGATACGCTCCATTGCGTAGTACCGGACTATTTTTCGTTTCTGTTCTCATTCATTTGCTTGGCACCGCAATTGCAGGGTTAGCAGGAGTTAGCACCACAATTGCAGAGTAAGCCCTGCTATTTTGCAGGGTTAGTTAACCACGTACTATAGGTGGGGTTAGCCAACTTAAAACACTTTGGTAAAAGCCAGTCTGAACAGAAAGTGGAATAGGCTTAACCCCGTACTATAGGTGGGGCTAAGACCCCCCCCCCTTAACCCCACCTATAGTACGGGGTTAAGCAAATATTGCCAGTGTGAAAACAGTATAAGTTGGACTTAAAATTTATGGAAAGCCATTAGCATCCTTGAAAATATTTTGTAAAAGTTATTTTAAAAGGCATAAAATGTTGATTCAAATCATTCATGTTTTCTATTATCATGAGAGATTTCATGTTCTTGATGTGGAATTTATGAAAAGTCTAAAATACTTCAATGTTTGCTTTTGAATATATTTCATTATAAGGTTACAAATGGCTCTCCATAATATTTAAGTCCAACTTAGAGTTAAGTTTGACTTAGAATCTTTGTGAAACACCCTCCAGGTGAACTGTACATGTAATACATTAAGGCACATATATATTCTGTAGCAGGCAGACATTTGATGTGCAGTAAGTACAGGTTTCAAATGACAGTAATATTAATACAAAGCAACCAACATAAAAATAAACTTATAAGTGTAGTGAGGGGATGGCAAAATGGTAGCATAAACATGCAAGTTGCATGCTCAACCAAGGTAGGAAAATACAAATAAATACTGAAGGAAAATGGAACCAAAACGTTAAGATGATGAGGAGGCAGGTGACACAGCCCATGTGGGTTCGGTTTGACTTTGAGTAGATAACAGAGAAGCGCTTGGTTACTTCTTGGATGATAATTACAGGATTGAAAAAAGAAAAAAAGAAGCTTGATTGGGATGAAAAGAAGAGAGAGCTTACCAGACGAATGCTGTTTCATGTCTTATGGTCTTTAAAGATGAACACAAGGGCAGAGAACAAGAAAGATTAACACTCACATGAACGCTGATATTGGTGGTATAGTTTGAGAAGAGGTGAGTGGTGGTATAATATATGGTGGAGATGAGTTATAAATCATATGACAATACTTTGTGGTGGTTGGAACCCAAAACCTGGAATTTTGGTAGGGTGATATTGATTGCCTATGTTTACACCATCATTCTTAAACCTTCAACCTAAAATCAGTGAACCTTCAGTAAGTTTCCCAATCTTTTCATCCAATGAAACACCATACCCCGGTAAGTGGCGAAGTTGTGACTCTGAATTAAACATGGCTTTGTGCCAAATTGATAATGCTATCATGTAGTCCCTCATATTAGTTGTCACCTACACATAATATACTAGACAGGATTTAAAAGGATGTTATGGGTAGTATTAATTGTCAAGGGGGGGGGGTGCTCAGGTATGGTCCAGAGTTCATTATAAAGGAGAGGGATGAATGTATGAATTATGGTATGGAAAACAGGTGTAAAGGAGGCAACATTGTTAATACTTGACCTGCAATATCAAAGGGGACAACGAGGGGGATGGGGAGACTGAATTAAAAGAGTGGAGTGCAGTAAAGAGGATGTGCAGAAACAAATTTCTGTGCTGGGATGAGTGAGTGATTGAGTAGACGAATGAGAGTAATGGATGCAAAAATGAAATGAAACACATACATACTGTACATGAAGACTTCAAGGGCCTCATAATAATCACAAAGCAATTTTGAATAGATTACATTCATCAAGTTCATTTACAACTCAAAGTGAATGTGTCAGGATGCATTTTCACTGATGGCAGTTTGCAATCCCAGATAATTTCTACTCAACAGAGTTTATTTTCAAACTGTCCGACATTGTCTTTGAATTTGGACAATTCTTTATCTTTTAATGATAGCGATGCAAACTTAAAGCGAAATGTAATTGTAGCATGACCTTCTCTTGTGTATGCCATCTCATTTTTAAATTGCTTTGTCATAACTATCACAGGCCTCTCTCTTCTACCCCCCCCCCCCCTCCATTGAAACTGACTACCACAGCAGTCATTATAGTAACTTGTCCTCTTGAATGCCATTTCAAACAGATTGACTGCTAAACCACTGGACCCCACTCTCATCTTTCTTTCTTTTTTCTTCAATTTACTTTCAAATCCTTATTTCATTCTTAATTTCCCCCCCCCCCCCAAAAAAAAAAAAAAAAAAAAAATTCAATCCCTCAATCTGTCAGTTCTGTTGTGATGGACAATTCTTCATAAACATTACAAATAATCAGAGCTGCCAACCTCCAGAACAGAAAATCAGTAATCACAAGGCTCAAAATCAGTAATTTGGGGTATAAATCAGTAATTTCTTATGCGGCGCTATGAATCTAAAAAAACGACACGCCAACACTGCGCGGACGCATGATTATCTGAAATTTTTGGTGATTTTACTCACACAAAGATGTTAAGTATTGAATTTCAGGTCATCACAACACAGTTTATCATGAAAAATGGCTCCTATTCACAGCACTCGCTACGATAAATCATATTTAATTCATTAAAAAAAAAAAAAAAAAAAAAAAAAAAAAAAAATTTTTTTTTTTTTTTTTTTTTTTAAATCCGTAATTTGAGACAACATTCCGTAATGGTCGTTAATTTCCGTACCAATTACGGAAAATCCGTACTAGTTGGCAGCTCTGAATAATGCTTGTTTAAACCACAAATATGTACAGTAAAATCTGTCACGATTTTAATAAACCATGAGAGAGCAAATCTATGTTGCAAACTCTTGCAATTTGGTCAGGTTTTTCTTGATTTTTCTTTCAGTAGTCCTCATGAAAACAGAGATTTACAGTACGTAGATGACCTATTTTGGACTCTATCACAACTTTGAAAGTGTGCTTCATAGGACCCTCCCTATTGCACTTGAATAACAAAACTATGAAGCTCAACTCAGTACTTCATATTGAAAATCTCTGATAGCTAGAAATTAAGGAAAAAAAATCTCTTTTTTTAGTCCACACATTCATGCATAAACTGTATGCAAATTAAATCACTGCTGGAAAGAAGTATTAATAAAAAAAGAAGGAACAAAAAACTAAAAGTAAATTAATACAACAGCGAAATAACACCATCAGATTCATGTTATGACTTACATTGTGACTCTCACTATTCCATCAACTATTATCTAAGATCTACACAACTTGTTCTACATGTATGCAAATGAACCATGCATCCTAGTGAAATCTCCTTCTATTCCCAGTGTAATTAAGTCAGAATGTACAATGTCACTTTGGTCTGCTTACTGCATAGTACAGTGTAAGTCTTAAGTGGCTTCTTGCATAAAAAACTGCAATCAAATGCATGCATGTCTCAAACAATTCTTCTTGCAGATAGTCAAGATTTGTTTCAGTGAGAAGCAAACAGTTGGACGTTTTATGACAGTCTCATGTCATGTCTTTCCCCTTAACATGCAAATTATTTACCTTTTATTATCCATAAAAAAAGATATCTCGGATCAACCCAATTCATGTTTTGTTCAGGGGTCCCATCATGATACCACTACTACTACAGCATCATGCATTCCTGGTGTGGAACCAATCTTTTCTGGTTAGAACCGGATTGAACCCGATCCGCACAGAGGACAGAACCTGGCTGCTTACCGTAATTTGGTCCTGAGCTGGTTTAGCTCCCTCTGTAGGGCTTCGTTGGCCTCTGTCTGCTCATCTAGTTCACGCTGGATCCTACGCTTACCAGCACTGGCCCTTGAGCATTCTTCTTCACTCTCATCCAGCTGGCGCTTCAGGGTCTTAAGGCGAGTATTGCTCTTATCCACCTACGTAAGGCATATAATAATAATAATATTGGATATTTATATAGCTCACATACATGTACATGTATCTACCCTGCAAGGTGCTCAAAGCGCTCCAATATTACCCCGGCTCTGCTAGGCTACCGATTTCGGTGCTCACAGCATTCAAGGAATTCCTTCCTACCGGTACCTATTTAACGGCTGGGTGGAGAGTGGCAAATGTATAAACAGTAGGTCTTTAACCATTGTAATCAATTTACCAAATATATTATCTATTGTTTTGTGGTTCAACTATTCTGGCAAAAATTCTTTTATAATTGTAGCCCCAAATGTACAATTCAAGTACCAGGAACAGGAATGAAAAATTATTTTATAATGCTAGATCAAGTTTTCACTATACTGGGGGGTGTTTCACAAAGACTAAGATCGACTTTAAGATGGACTTAACTATGACAGGCCATTCATGCCACTAGTTCCTCTGACCCTTCCTGGCATTAGTTTCTCAAGGGACATACAAAACGTGGTCACAAATCTACAGAATTTACCTTTTTTGATAGCTCATTATTGAAGGAAAAATATTATCTAAAGATCACAATTGAGAGACCCATGGTGATAGCAACCAGTGTCATGAATGGCCTGTCATAGTTAAGTCAAACTTAAAGTCGATCTTAGTCTTTGTGAAACACTCCCCAGCTGATGTAACTGAAGTGGCCATTCGAGGGGGTAGCTCTCTTGTACATCAAACCTCTATTTAACATCCTACTGAAGATTGGACGTATATCTACAATGTAGGCGGCCATAGAGCTTATACTGACCTGTTCTTTGTACTGCTCGGCATGACGACGTTCATCTTCAATAGCATTAGCCATCTCTCTAGCTTTCCTATCGGCTCTCTTGGCCATCTTAGCTGCTGTGTTGCGCTCCCTAAAAAAAAGAATACATAAACACATAGGGTTAACAAGTCATACTATACATGTATAACTTCTAAAGGGACTTGGGCCTTATTTCATCAACCCAGTTAATTTCTAAATCGTAGATGACTCGGCAGGAAATCCATTTGAAATGTGTGTTGGTTCAAAATGTTTTCATCTCCAACCATTCAACTTACTTTGCAATTGTATTCCATATAAACTCAGAATACAACTGTAAGCTCAACAAGTTACTTCAAGTAAGACAAAACTTGGCAATGTTGTCGTGATGTAAACATGCCTGAGTTTTAAAAAAAACGAGCTTGACTTAATAACTGCAGTAATCTAAGATACAGCTTCCAGTGGCATGATTTATGTATCTTTAATCCAACATCTAAACTGTTCTTTTAATAAAATATGTGTGAAAGACAACAATGTACATTCAACATCGAATCATTGACATCTAAACTTTACCATCTGAATGTAGTTTGATGCTGTATAGATATGAAACTTCTGTAAATGAATGAATATGAAGTGAACAAATTAATAATGCTTACTTGGCCTCAATTTCAAGCGAGTCCTCAAGCTGTGCAATCTTGCTCTCCATCTGTTGGATGGTAGCCTTTGACTTGGTGCGACTAGCACTCTCCAGCTCAGCCATCTTAGCCTTCAGATCCTTGTTCTGTTCATTAACAGACAATCAATTAGGTATATATGATTATCATCATAATCATTGTCATAATCATAGCCATCCACCTCCCCCTCATTACAATCATCATTCTCATCATCTGACAGTCAACAGTCTGAATTGTAAAGCCTATTACTTTTTAAACATTTACTAGGTACTCCTCTGGGAACTTTTTTGTTGTAGAACATGTATGGCTCCTTCAAGAATTTTCCATTTTATAAACTGACTCAGTCATACACAAATTTCAGATCTGAAGAGGAAGGATGATAGAGTCCATCGTGTCTTACCTGTCTTTCAAGGATGTTCTTGGCATTCTCATTACGTTGATTGGATGATCTCTCAGATGCAAGCTCAGCCTGCATTTGCTCCATCTACAAATAGATACAAATGCAACGATTTATAAATCCATATGAATGTGACAGACATCTTTCATGAAACAAAATTATTTATTCTATTCCTACATTTGTGTGTTCACATCTTAAAGACATCCATCATCTGTTTCCTGCTCCTCCCCACATTTGACACCAATACACTTTCTGCTAACTTTCCCCACCTATTCTGTAACATCAACACCATAGGCAGGATATTCAAGAACTTTACTAACACTGGACATTTCGAAAAGCTCTTGTTAAAACTATACCCCACCACTATAACACAGGAATCAATGTAACTCAGGTGGGGTATCTCGACCCCACTTTCATTTCTCTTGTTAAAACTTTGAGAGAGCCACTAATACCTCACCACTATAACACGGGCACCAATGTTAACTCAGGTGGGGTATCCCGACACCACTTACGTTTCTCTTGTTAAAAACTTGGACAGAGCCTTGAGGATCTGCGTGAGAGATTATGATATTGGATTGCAGCTGGACTCTTCATCATCTTACGTAATACTAGTATAAACAAACTCTTACTGGGAAGGAAATGAGAAGTAGGAAATATTTATTTTACTTGTTTTAAGATATTTTCATGTCCAAAAGTCACTTATAATTTAGATGAAGACCATAATGAAAGTTTGAACAAAGCAAAATGACCCAGAAATGGCGATATAACAACAATTATCATCGTGAAAATTAGCACTCTTTCTCCCTTTCTCTCTCCCTCTATCATGCTTATCTCTCTCTCTCCCTCTCTATCACCCCGCCAAGGTCTCGGCAGGGGGATTTCATTGTATAACGCTAGTGTTTACTTTAGGCTCTAGGAGTGGTGAAAGTCAAATGGGGGTTTCAATTTTAAACAATGAGTTTTCGTCATGAGCAGTTGGCTTCAGGTGATTGTTTTTCCCTCCTCTACAACTTCTGCTTCATGTTATCAGTTATCACAACCTCCTCCTCCTCCTCCTCCTCCTTCACCTTCTCCTTTTTCTCCTCCACATTCTCATCTTGACATTCTACCTACCTGTCCAGTGAGCTTCCTCTCCTTCTCCATCAAGCCCTCCACCATGGTCTGCTCATCCTCCAGCTCTTCTTCCAGCTGAGAGAGCTTCTGTTCCAATCTTCTCTTCTCGTCCAATGCTGCAGATCCTTTGGAGGAGCTACTGTTCATCTCCTCGGAGAGCTCGTCACGCTCAGACTCGGCATGCTTGCGGGCACGCTCAGCCATCGCCAATTCCTATCGACAACCACAGACAAAGTAATAAGACAGTGTTTCTTATAAGCGTACAACTTGATATTCTGTCATTGCATTTAATCAGGACCAAATTTCAGACTTGTAGGTGAGCAACAGGCAATTTAGGAGAATCAGATCATATAAGATATGAAGAGGAAAACACAAACTCAAAGAGAATTATATCCCGTTATCATTTTTCAAGATTCCTGCATCATTGTGCTGGTACTACATTTCCAATGAAGTTGGCTTCAATGATGGAAGATCAATATAATGATTGAGCTTACTAGATGAACCCCTATAAGACAGCTTCATCACATTAAACATAGTAAGTTATTTATAGTACATCTCTTTCGTCTGCTTATGAAGTTTGCCCGGTACTGCTTGGCACCCGCCCCACACAGGGGTTTGAAATATTACCAAAATACCCACTGTTCTGCAAACTGCTATGGTAGAGCACTGAAAACTATATTCTAATATTCATACATCATGGATCAATTCGTTGAATCTCTGCACATACCTCTTGGAGTGTCATGAGTTCAGTCTCCATAGCTTTGAGCTTGCGTTCATTATCCTTGGCAGACTGGAAGATCTCATCTCTAGCATGACGAGCATCCTCCATGTCAGCTTGGTACTCTTTCATTTGAGTCTGAGGATTTGAGGGATTTACAACAAAATAATGATAATAAAACATTTAAAGAGCGCACAAACTAGCCAACATTAAACATATATTCTACTGCGCTATATACAAGAGCTCCTGATATGCTTAGATTTACAGTTATTCGAAAAGATGTACCTTCAGTTTTGATTTAAAGATATTCACAGATGGTGATGTGATAGTTAATTCATTTTCCCTTTCATAACGCTAACTCCTTTTCTGTAACATTCAACATTTTTCATCAACACTATCATTCTACACGTTCAAATCTTGGGATAAATTGATATTGAATATACAAATAATAATACCCTTAACTTCAAACATTACAATATGACAATAATCGGGGCAGCGCCAGGAGTGTCACAACGTGACGGACATGTGTGCTTTATAAGAAGCCACCATTATTATTATTATTATTACCAAAAGTTTCTAATATTACTCTAAAAATCGGAGGGTCTCATTTCCTTCTCATATACATACATAAGTTCTTTCCACCACATCATAATTCACATTGACACTTGTCCACTAGCTTTGCAAAATTTTGTCATACTTTTGATGATCTAATTTTGAAACACATCATTCCTTGTTACATTCATAAATGTAGTGTGTCTTCAATGAGAACATTTTTCTCTTAACGCAAGAACATTGTTAAAGACATGAAATTCTTCCTCTGAATTCTATCTATCTAATTATCTTCTCCCGATTAGGAGGTTGATTGCAACATCTCAACATCTCTCCATTTCACTCTATCTTCTGCCATTCTGGTGCACTCTTGCAGTCTTAGTCCACTCCAGTTCTTGACATTCTCTTCCCAGTTGATTCTGGGTCTCCCTCTCGGTTTAGTTCCTTCCACTCTTCCCTCCAATACATCCTTTAAGAGGCTTTGAATTCAGATACATTGATAGGCAGGACTTTCCTAAACACAAGGGTGGGTACTGTACCTGTAGTTTGCGTAGTTGTCTGACACTGTCTTCTTTGGTCTTGTTAGCAGCCTCCACCTGACTCTCAAGATCTTTGAGGTCCATCTCAAGCTTCTTCCTCTGGTTGACTGCACTTCCTCTCTGCTTCCTCTCCTCCTCAAGGTCAGCCTCCATCTCACGAAGCTAAAACCATCAAACAAATGTTCACAAAAGAAGTCAAATGCCTGTATAGAAGCCTGTTCATATCCCATGTTATAAAAACAGAAGATTAGAAAGAAAAAAAATATTATGACGAATACAGTAGGCTACAAGATATATTTGGATTCATGCATTCAGTTTATCATCCCAAAGTCTTTTTTTATTTAAATGTTAATATCCTCAACAAAAGCAATAACAAACTTGTGATTGATAACATTGTACACGCATACATAATCCAGTGAAAAGCATAACCCTTTACTCAAAATGTTCACACAATTAGAGGCTTCCATGATCCTACAATGGCAGATGTGCTCTGGTATACGAATAATACACAGCAGTAAGGGCATTAGGAAGAGTTACCCACACAAGGTACCTTTGGAACAGTCTAACACGCCCGAGGCGGTAACCAAGGGTGTTTGGACTGTTTTGAAGGAACCGAGTGTGGGTAATTTTACTAATGCCCGAACAAAATGATGTGTATTATTTGTTTTATAAGATTATGTTGTATTTGTTTTATAAAATGATGTTTTATAACATGATTTTGATAATGACCGGTCATGAATTTGATAATGACTGGTCCTTATCATTGGGTCATTATCCAAATTACATGTTAGGCAAAATAAATGCCTGGTCACATGTATGCTTTCAACCAATCATTTGATTAGAATCCACGTCATCATCTTATAATACTTCCTAGTTGCTTTTGAGATGAAGAGTGAAGGAGGTTCTTCTCACCTGTCTAACGAGAGCACGTCTTCTCTCCTCTGACTGCTCCTCCTTGGATGATGAATCTCTCTCAAAGTTAGCCTTAGCAGCCTGGAGATTGACCTCTAGACGAAGCTTAGCATCCTCGGTGGCCTGGAGCTCATCCTCAAGCTCTTCCATCTGGGTACGCATTTCCTCAATCTGAGTCTCCAAAGCTTTCTTAGCCTTCTCAAGCTCATGGACCTAACAGATCAACCAAGGAATAGCGATAAGAAACCTTAGATATACTATTCTTTTTAACAGTGTCTATCAACACTAGACTTGTCATTTTCAAATAGAGTTATGAATATGTCCGAAGGGCTATCTTGGCCTTTTTGAGCACAGGCATCTGAAAGGTGAAGAAGAGAATACTGATTTTTTTTATAAATTGAATTTTCTTTTATAGTAAAGTTTCCTTCATTGTCCTACTATGTTTTCACAGACAAGACAGAATTTAGATCATTAATAAGTGGTCTCTGATCCAGCATATTTTTTATCTTACGATTTTCATCTTTTGCTAAAACAAATTCATCCTGTTGAGTGCTATACAGCTTGCATGTTCTCTGTTATTCACTGGTCATGGCTACTTACACTCTTGCCAACATCATCCTTTGATGAGACAAGTTCATCCAGCTCAGCGTACTGTGTCTTGCGTATCCTCTCACTCTCCTGTAGGCTCTCCTGGAGTTCCTCCATCTCTCGGTTCAGATTCATCAGCTGAAGAAACAGCAAGAAAATAGAATAGGTGTTATCATTCAACTCAAGCAAAGATAAACACTTAAAGCCTATCTGCACACGTTTGGCCGGGAGGGATTAGACATCCCTGCAAGGTTATCTCATCAAATCAGCTCTCAATTAACATAAGAAAAAGAGGATCATGGGGGACCAATGGTCACCGATAATCATAAGGCTTTGTCTGCTATATAGAGGGCACAAGTAGTTATAAGTAGTGGAGTGGGGCTTTAAATTAGCACCAACAGCTTGCTAACAACGATAATAAATCCTCAAAAGAGCTAAGACAATATGTGGCTGTGTTATGCCATATCGATATACAGCTACAGGATCCATAATTAGAAGTGCAGTTTTAAAATTTAACTTTAGTGGAACATGAACAACAACATACCACAAAGCATGAACTGATCAAGTGCCTTGTATCCCAATGGAAAATGTGCTACATAAAAAGCAATGATCATAATCATTGTTATTGTAGGACTGCATTAGGCTGTATGATCATCAGTGGGTGTTCCATAAAGATCCCAAGTCAAACTTAACTCTAAGTTGGACTTAAATATTATGGAGAGCCATTTGTAGCCTTAAAATAAAATATATTCAAAAGCCAAAATTTAAATAAATTCCACATCAAGAACATGAAATCTCCTTGATAAAAGACAATATGAATGATTTGAATCAACATTTTATACCTTTTAAAATAACTTTAATGATGCTAACTGCTTTCCATAATTGTTAAGTGCAACTTAGAGGTAAGTTCAACTTAGAATCTTTGTGAAACACGCTCCAGATCCGATGGAGGGTCCTGTCCTACCTTTGTTTCTTTGTCCCTAGATTCCTTAGACCTCTCATCAAGCTCCTGCATGATGCGTTCCTTCTCAGCCTTCTCTTCATTGAGCATGCTGTCAAACTTCCTCTGCTTCTTCTCCAGAGCCGTCACACTCGCCTTCTCCCTCTCAAGGTTCAGGGTCACATCATCACACTGTTTCCAACAAAAAGAATCAAAGATAAGAATGAATCCCGATCATTGCAAAAGAAACCGTCTGGAAGCAATTTGGAAAGGTTTATTTAGTATGTAATGCACAAATGACTGTATGAAGTAAATATATCTGTAAGTGATGTACACTGTAAAGTTTTGAAATGATTGAAATCAAAAGTGACTGACTCAATCTTGCTGAAGATCACATGCACTACACACAAATGGGTTTATGGGACTACACACAAATAGTGGTCCAAACTTTTTAGATAGATGTTTGTCATTTATCAAATAAGAGTAAAATCATTTTCCCAAGAATTTCTACAATAATATTCTTTTTAACTGATATACACATACCGAGAAAGTTCACAAATTATTTTCTATCTTTGCCAGAACTCAAACTTCTCTTTAAAGATATATCAGCTAAACAATAATGTGTGGAAGTACAGTAGTATGGCTCATTCACTTGAGGTCGAGGGTTCAAATCCCTGCCAAGCACTAACATTCCTTAGCAAGATATAAATCTACATAAGCCACTTATCACTCAAGTGTACATGTAAATGAGTACATGGTATGCTTTAAGCACTTGATTGCATTTGATTAGCTTTGAACATGTTTTGTACAAGGAGATTCCATAACTCTCCTTCCACTGGAAACCTGAAATTGGACAACTGTTCTTGATAATATGTTTCATGAAACATAGCCCAAGTTTAGGAAAGTTCCTTACAAGAAAAATCGAATCACACCACTCAACATTTCATTCTGCAAAGTTTCATGCCATGTACACAGTTTGATTATGATAATGTACTGAGGGAATTTTCAACCCACTGCTTTTTTTTTGGTTACCCTTTTTTTCCTTATCTATTATGTTACTGTAATTCACACGGATCACCCCAATTTTAAGAAATCTACATTGATTACCAGTACGCCAGAGAATAACATTCAAAATCTTGCTGATTGTATATAAAGCACTTCTTGGTCAAGCTCCCACTTATATCAAAGAACTGTTGAATTTCAAACCTAATCAACACAATCGCAACTTGCGCAGTTCCCGAGATACTTTGTTGCTACAGATCCCATCTATCAAAACAAAAATAACGCTAGGTGATCGAGTATTTGCTTGTGCAGCCCCAAAACTCTGGAATAACTTGCCATTTGAAGTCAGGAAATCACCATATGTAAACGTCTTTAAGTCAAAACTGAAAACACATCTTTTTCATCAACTGTACCGTAAATCTAAGCATATCAGGAGCTCTTGTAGCGCAGTAGAATATATACCTAATGTTGGATAGTTTCTGCGCTCTATAAATGTACTATTATTTATTTATATTATTTATTTATTTGTAATTGTATTTGATGTAAGTTTTTTATTGATTTGGAAAAATAAAACAATTGAATTGAAACTAAATTGAAAATTGAAATCATTCAGAACACGGAATATCCTTAATCTTGTGATTGCCCGGCATAGCAAGGCAGCATCCATGACTTACCTCAGCCTGGAGCCTCTTCTTGGTCTTCTCTAGTTTGTCTGAGCTGAGCTTCAGTTCCTCGTTGGCGTTATTCATGGCCTCCATCTCCTTGACCATCTTCTTGCGGTATTCCTCTGCTTGGTCCAAAGAGTTGGAATCATCCTCGACCTTCTTCTTCAGATCGGACACCTGCAAGGACGGGATAAGATCTTGGTTTAGGTACTATTTACAGACGGAAATTAACTGATAACATATCGTCGGTGGGGTGACAAAACCTCGTATCTCAATTTTTTGAGATTTTGATTTTTTTTTGCATAATTTTGTATCTAATGGCCTACGACACCACCTGATAAATCCATTGAACGCCTCCTGTCTCAGTTTTTTCACAAATTCCAAACAAAGGACGGTGTCACAGCACTAAATCTGTTGAGACAGGAAAGGTTTTTGCGCTCTCCTGAAAATTCATGATTTTTGAGATACAAGGTTTTGTCACCCCACCGACGATATTACGATACATAAAAACCTCCAAAACCACCTTTTTCTATACAACATTCATAATTGATTGGAATTTACTCCATTTTATATATCAATTGTTTGCACAATAAAGAACATAGTTGACAAAGTACATGTAAGTTCAAAATTGTGAAATGACAAAGGAACCCACTGGGAAGCATAGCCTGTTTTTGTAGGTTCCCAAGAATAAATATAATTTGAACATTATTTGCACAAATCCTTTTTAAGTGTCTAAATCATCAAACTATACAAAAAGAACAGAATTACAAAATGGGACCCAAAGGACAGGAAACTGACATAAGATAAGACAGGACATAACAACTAAAATTGTCTACATATAGGTGGAAGAAACCCATAAGACAGATTCAAAAACATAGGAAGAAAGAACAGATAGAGAGAAGATGACTGATAAGGGGAACATTAAAATGAACATACTGTACCACCCAAAAAAAGAGTTAAGAGATAGATTTTATACAAAATATGTAGATGGGAAAATAAATGGAGAAATGTTAATATAAAGATATGAATATATAGGGACACAGAGGCAGACACACAGACAGGTAGGGCAGACAGATATACATAGAAAGACAAACGAGTAGATATATTGACTGACAGAGAGATAGATAAATCAATCAATCAATAGATATATACATGGACACAGATAGGAACAAGTAGATATTGACTGACAGAGAGATAGATAAATCAATCAATCAATAGATATATACATGGACACAGATAGGAACAAGTAGATATTGACTGACAGAGAGATAGATAAATCAATCAATCAATAGATATATACATGGACACAGATAGGAACAAGTAGATATTGACTGACAGAGAGATAGATAAATCAATCAATCAATCAATAGATATATACATGGACACAGATAGGAACAAGTAGATATTGACTGACAGAGAGATAGATAAATCAATCAATCAATAGATACATGTACTCTGATAGGAAGACAAGTACACAGACAGAGCAAAAGATAAGTAAAACAATATAAAAAGAGAAAGATGTAATTCTAACCTGCATCTGGAGAGTAGAAGCCTGTCTCATGGCATTACTCTTGGCCTGTTCCTCTTCCTCTAGTTGCTCCTGTATTTGATCCTTCTCGGCCTCCATAGCTCTGAGCTTGGAATTGAGCTCTAGCTTCTGTCTGGTCTCCTCGTTGAGGTTCTCCTGTATCTCAGTCAGCTGACCCATCAAGGAGTTGGATGACGATGTGGCCTTGGATGCCTTGCTCTCAGACTCCCCAAGGAGAGCATTAAGGCTCTCCACCTCGGCCTAATAGACAAGTAAACCAAGGCAACACATTACATTTTATTGCTACATTAGAAATTCCACATTGACACATGCTATAATCAGTTTTAAAAAAAGCATTGATATATTAATTGTGGAGTCAAAAATTGCAAAAGTTGTTCATGATTTCCTATTTTAACCTAAGGAAAATTGATGTATACACTTCAACATCACTTCAAGCTTCATCCTCTAGCTATTCCCTAACTAACCTTGTAAATTCAAAATTTACATCAATAAAAATGCATGTCACCTTCATTTAATCCAACGACTTCTGAATGATCTTGCTTCCCACAGACTTTAATACAGGAGTAACCTAGTTCCCGTAGGCAATCAATACATTGGAGAATCATACTTTTTTTTTTGGGGGGGGGGGGGGGGGGAGGTTCTTTTCCAGGGATGTTAGTCTATGTATGTTTCATGTAATAGCATTTACCTTTAAACAAAAATTTTATCCATATTATATCAAAATCAATCAGATTTGGTGAATCAGCCATTCTGACATGAACCCTAATCTTTGCCAAGTGGCGAACGTTTATAGTGGATCCAGCCTTACCTGGAGCTTAACAGTCTTCTCCACGGAGTCTGTCTTGGCTCTATCATTCTCCTGCAGTCGGACATTCAACTCAGCAAGCTGTGCTTCAAGGTTCTTTCTCTTCCTCTCAGACTCCTGCTTAGCTTGGGAAGCTTGCTTCAGATCACTGCTCAGCTCAGAGTTGTTGCTCTCCAGGCTTGACTTGCTCTTCTCCAATGAAGATTTGGTCTGGTGAAAAATACAGCATTCAAACACAGTTAATACTTATTTGAAACTTCTGGAACTCAAAGGGCTTCTTTTTTTTTTTTTTTTAACTCTGAGTAAAATATTAGTACTGTAATAAAGTACAGTATAGCATATAACTCCACTGGCATTTCGCTGTTGCTGATTAATTTTACAGACATTTATCATTCACGCTTCTTGAGAGTATACTGGTCCATGGCCTTCAACTCAAGAAACTCATGATGGGGTGGTATTCCGGTAGCGCGTACTAAGTTAGCGCGTACTAAGTTAGTCCACACTTTTATGGAGTGCCAGTTGCCAACTCATTTACAGTGTACAGATTATTTTAATCCTTCAATGAAAAGTGTCCAAAAAATTAATTTTGCAATGAAATGGGAAGAAAAAGATAATGAATATGAACTGAATTTTAACAAAGTCTTTGGTAGATTATCTTTGTCATGAATATTGAAGGAGGAAGATGAAACCTAGCATTCCATAGAAGTGTGAACTAAAATTCTTGTTTAGTCTGGACTTAGTCCTGGCTTAACTTATGAGAATACCACCCCATGTTTGTTGTTTGTTGGATTAGTATGGGTCTTGGCAGCATGCAGGGTAGTTTCAGCTACACATTTTCAGCCGTTTCAATCCCACTTAGATATTAGCATGGAAAAATAGAGATAGAGCTTGAACGTAATAATGAAATTATGACATTATCTTAGTAATTGTTAAATGGGCAAACACTGTCAAAAGAATATGTGATGGAAACACAAACCTTGCTCGAATTTATCACAAAAAAAAGCTTCTACTACTACTACTACTACTATAGCTTCAACAATAGATTCCTCAAATACCTTGAAAAGTACATACACAAAACGTGTGAAAAGCTTATTAATCCTAATTTAATACGACACTGAAAAGTTCAAAGTATTTTTTTTTCCCCTGGTCATTCAATCCAACGTAAAATTAGACAAAGCTTAACAACCTCGGGCCATTTTCTTACTTTTTCTTACCTTTTTGACAAAATACAACTCTTTAGGGTTAGGGTTGGAGGATATTTTGTGATCTACTCTTGCCCTCTCATTCATGTGATAACTGACCTACGCTTAGGGTTAGGCTAGGTCAGATATGGCACGGTAAACCTCTGGAAAAAGCCGCCACTTTTTTTTTTTTTACATTAACAAGTAAGAAGAAGTGGCAACTGTGTGCAACAAAGGACTTGCACATATTGACTAAGCTCTGCATTATAACATTCTGAAATGTGAAAACTTTACTGAATGATCGAGCCCAAGAGTTGGGTTAGGGATAGGGTGAGGATAGGGTTGGGGTTAGAAACTGATCCGTCTCCTACCTTCTTGACATTATCCAACTGTTCATTGAGCTGTTCAATGGCGCTGTTGTGCTTGTGACGGAGGTCTTGGATGGTCTGTTCATGGGTCTTGCCACCAACCTCTAGCTGCTTTTTCATATCCTGCAGCTCAGATTCTCTGCGGTTTCGCAGATCCTGAGCAGCTGTAGTGCTGTCGATGGAATCCAGAAGCTCAGATTTGATGGCCTCAAGTTCCTGGAATATAGAGAAGGTTTGGGGTTTGTTGATTAACCGACAGCTTTCTGGATAAGTGACATTAGGGTAACTCTGGTACGTAGCTTCTCAAAGTGCCATAGCTTAACATTTACTTTACTATGTCAATCTTTCAGAAAGGTAAAAGGCCTAAGGCAATAATTTCCTGTTTTCTTTATTCTGCGAGGAGTTATTGTGCGTTGCAAGTTAATATTTCTTTTGAAAAATTTGGGTGACAAAATTGCACTGAAAACAATAACAACAAAAATAGAATTATGTACAAAAATACAAAATACAGTCACACCTGTATTAGTGGCCACCTCCCTGTACAGTCCACTGGTCTATTAGTAGTCATTTTTGTTTGTCTCTCTCAAGAAAGAAATGTTTGTAGTAGAACTTGTCTTGACGGGTCATCTGTTTACAGTGGCCACTTTCTCTGTTTTCCGCAGGTGGACTCAATTAATTCTTTGAAATGCTAGAGCGCCGTAATGGCAGCACAGCTAAAGCTGGAGTAATAATATCCAAGTTTGGAAGCGCTTAGTGATTGTAATAAGCACTATATAAAAACTGAGTATTATTATTATTATTATTAGACAGGTTTGACTGTTTCAATCAATGACACTTGCTTCAATTAAGTGCATTATGAAGAGACAATATATCTTAGCCTAAAACTATGAATGCAGTCTCAAATTATATTAAGTGATGTAAAGTCACGTATCAAATCTTATTCCTATGACATCTTCTTCTTCTTCTTCCAGTGCAAGTACAGTCCTCTGGGAAGAGTATTTTCGTACTGTTGTGTAGTACTGCATTATGTGAGCCCCCCAAAAAGAGGTCCTGAACGGTTTTAGAATTGAGAAGTAAAAAGTGTTCATGTTGCCTAGCAAAGTAAAAGTAAAGTAAAAATGCATGCGGACAGACCTCATTGAGATCCCTCTTGTTCTTCTCGGCCCTGGAGCGTGCCTCCTTCTCAGCATCTAGATCCTCCTGGAGCTCCGTCAGCTGGTTACGCAGCTCACGCTCCTGCTTCTGAAGCTGGTTCTTCTGACTAACCTCATCTTCAATGCTACAGGGGAGCAACAATGGCAGTAATGATTATTATTCCATTTTACATTATACTATCTATTGGAAAGAGCCAGAAGGGCATTAAAGCCCCATTGTACTACTTATAGCTACTTGCACCCTCTATATAGCAAACACTGCCTAATCGGTGCCTGTTGGTCCCCCATGATCCCCTTTTTCTTATGTTAATTGAGAGCTAATTTGATAAGATAACCACCTGTCAATGATCATGCAGGGTGTACAGGCACGTATACAGGCACGTGTGCGTCTCCGCACATCAACAAATGCAAAGACCAATGGAGCATAATCGTTTGTAACTGAACAGATTACCCTTTAAAAGTCATTTCCTCAATATACCTTGCTTTTCCTATACTCTCTTTCTCTCTCTCTTCAAGATCAAGATCATTTTCTTGAATTATTATACAAATAATGCAGTGAGCGCATTAGTAAGAATTACCCACACAAGGTACCTTTGGAACAGTCTAACACGCCCGAGGCAGTAGCCGAGTATGTTTGGACTACAGAGATTTGAAGCTACCAAGTGTGGGTAATTTCACTAATCCCCCTTACAAAATGATGTGTATTATTTGTTTTATAAAATGATGATTTTACTAATGATCGGTCAAATTACGCGTTAGGCAAAATAAATGCCTGGTCACATGTATGCTTTCAACCAATCATTTGCTTAGGATCCACGTCATCATCTTATAAACAACAATAACAGCTTTTTGTATTAGTTTAATAAAAATTACATACCGAGCAAGGGCAGCATTGAGCTCATCTTCTTTCTTAGCGAGCAGCGCCCTCAGCTCTACAATCTCTTGACGAAGCTCATTGAGCTGTTCCCTTAGGTCTTCTGTCTCCGTTTCCAGCTTACGCTTGTGACGCTCCAAGTCATTACGATGCTGGAAAACAAGTACAAATATTGGGTTATTTTTATCTTGGTAGTCCATTACTGCCATGATACACGTCAGAATTATCATTATAATTCTATGGAAGCTCATTGTAATCTTCATCATCATCACCATTATCATCATCATCATCACCATTATCATCATCACCATCATCATCTTCAACATTATTACCATTATCATCACCATTATCATAAACATCATCATCATCATCATCATCACCATCACCACCATCATCATCATCATCATCATCATCATCATCATCATCATCATCATCATCATCATCATCATCATCATCATCATCATCATCATCATCATCATCACCAACATCATCAACATTATCATCATTATCGACGTCGTCGTCGTCGTCATCAATATCATCACCATCATCTTTTTCTTGATGTTGTGTCAATTAATCTTGTCCTATGTGACATGTCATCAGAATAGTCATAATCATCCTCATTATAATCATCTTTGCCACTATCATCAACAAAGTCATCACCATAACCATCTTCACCATCACCTTCACCATCATCATAACAACCCCAATAATCAACATACCTGTATCCCACCCATCTCATCTCTAGAACAACCTATTAACCTTCTCACCTTCTCATCCTTGCGCATCTTGTCTTCCAGTTCTCCAATGCTTGTTTCATGTCGAGCCTTGAGTTTCATCAGCCCCTTGCTCTTCTCTTCCTCCTCAGTCAAGGTGAGTGATACCTCAGACAGCTTCTCATCAACGATCTTCTTGTCTTTCATCAACTAAATATCAAACAGACAGACACAAAATCAATTTAGAATACACCAATTACTGGGCATAAATGTACAATGCATGAATATGAAAGAATATTTACTAATCATCGTGTCATTTGATAAGATCTATTACAACCCCAGACAAATTATACTAATATAACAAATGGAATCTGTCCTCGGCATACTGGAGTAGATTATTCAGAGATATATGTTCATGTTCAAGGTACACGTAGTAACAAAATTACATTGTCAATAAAAGGTATTTGAAAGCATTTACAGTAGTACATGACTGCTGTTACTCTACAGAGTAAAAAGTCTCAACAGTTGTATTAACCAACCTTCTGCTTAAATGGCAGTTTAAACAACAAATTTTGAATTATTTTGGGAACTCATAAAAGCTTGTATTTTCTTCATGACTTTGACACGTAAGTATAAACAATGATAACATGGGTTAATCCTTTAATCACGACAAACAATGAAGTAACATGGACAATGCTTACAATGACATTATATATTATTTGGGATAAATGTCTGCAAACTTGGTGACCGGTCACCAGGCATACATACATTGTACATGTAAGCAGGCTTTCACATTCAACATACAAATGTACACGCACATGAATAAATATCCTCTAATTTTCATTCACATGTATACAATAACACCAGTCAAATATCATTGTAACTTGTGACCATCAATTATATGAAAAAACACTACTTTACCATGTATAAGCATATTTAATTTTTCCAATACGGCACCTTGGCTCTGTCTGGCTCTGTACCTTTACTTAATCAACTGAATGATACCTAACAACTCAAAGTTAAAGGGTCTGGCTTAATCAAACCCAATAGAGCATTTACCAAATTAATGGTTTTAGCAGGTAAGGGGAGTGGAAAATGCAAAACTGCACACTGAATATTCATATGGTATCAAGCATTAAAGATAAACTTGAGTTCTGGTAAAAAAAGAAAATGAATTCTCACAGAATCTAACGAAACTTACACTGAATGTTCAAGATTACAAATAAGAAAATGTATACTGGCTGAGTAATGAGCATAGAAAGATAAGGAAATCAGGGTAGTACTAGCCCCGACACCATGTGTGTTGTCCCATATACATCTATCTGTGTAAGTGATTGTTACTTTACCAAGACTCTGCCAAATTTATGATAATTTTGATGACTCTAGAACCTTGCAGAACACACCAATACTTACATGCTATATGATCAACTTTTCTGATCCATTCCACACCTTTTCTTTCACAATGCAATCGCATTACCAGTACTCAAGTTTATCTTTAAATTGCATCAAAAATAATAGATAAAGTTGCATTTATATTACATGTCCTTTGATATACAGGAAATGTGCACCAATACACACACATTGTACATTTCAACAAACACTAATTGAATTACTTTCCATTAAACAAATTGACAAATACTGAGACTAACATTTACACTTTATACTATTTTCATTACAGTAACTGTTATCACAAAGCATCTACGAACTACTGTACATCTTCTTCATAAAAATAATATTCCAATGCACACTACCTCATCATCTTCTGCAGGAATATCCTTCATCTTCCTTCTATCCTTCCTTCTTTTATCCTTCCTTCTTTTATCCTTCTTCTTACGAGCAGTGGAGAAAGACAGACCCATCAACCATACCTCCCTACAGCACTCAGCTTATATGCAACCTCAATCTCTCCTTGCCAACAAACCCAAACCCAAACCGAGCCAATTTTGCTCTCAACTGACCGAGGATAGTACCTCAAATTGAACCTTAATTGGAAAACGGGAGTCCCAGCAATTACTGCAGGAGAGTACATCAACGTGATGAATATACGCAGAGTGAGCAAAATGAAGTAAACTACCGTCCGAAGATTTAGCTGCACTTTGAGGTCTGAATCCCAGGTTAAAGCATCTGCCATTTCTAAATTGTCAATTCTCAAAAATATATGATTCTGCTTGATGTGTAGCTGTCTTTGATTCAATTTGACAGATCATGTACAAACATCTAGTTCTTCATCAATTTAGATTACATTTACTCTGCATGTACTGTTTTACCCTTGTTTTAGATAGAGAGACAATGTGGATACGGTACTCACAAAAAGTGGAATGCCATTATATTTTTCTCTTTGTGTGTGAAAGTGCAGTTTAAAAGCGCAATTTGAAGGAAAAAAAAGTGTAACAATTTGCTTTCCTTCCATGTATGTAAAAACACAAACCTGTGATACTAGATAAACAGCCCTAATCTAATTAATTACAGCAGTAATCAATATCAATTCTGCTTATCCTCGTAATCCTCTACGGCGGTAAATTGATACATTACCCCAGATAATAAAATAACCAGATATTAGAAGCACAAGCAATATTGGATATGGTAGATGTACATATACTGTGTGGCTAGCCAGCCAGCCAAATTAAATGAGAAAGAAGAGGAAAATGGCATACACATGAAGGTCACAAGGCTCAGCTGACTACTATCTATGCAATTTAGGAACAGTTTCATCATCATTTACTCAACAAAATCTTTCCAATATGACATTTGTCAAACCGATTTGTTAAGTGGAGGAAATCTAATTCATTACTCTGCACGCAAACAGATTAAATCTGAAGTTTAAACACACTTTATGAGTAATATAAATGATGAATTCCACAATGTGAAAGTGTAAAGGTTTATCTATCACAAGATGGATGGTGACATAATCTATATTTTCCTTGCTTATAAATCTCTCTGATATTGTGAAGAAATAGAGGCTTTATTATAAACATCTATTAATTTGCGCGCGCACACACACACACACACAATCTCTCTCTCTCTCTCTCTCTCTCTCTCTTTTCTTTCTTCTTCTTCTCTATATTTTTCCTTCTTCTTCTCTATATTTTTCCTTCTTCTTCTCTATATTTTTCCTTCTTCTTCTCTATATTTTTCCTTCTTCTTCTCTATATTTTTCTTTCTTCTTTTCCCTCCCTCTTCTTTCTCTTTTTCTCTCTTCTTCTTACTTTTCTTCTTCTCTTCCTCCTTTGGCAAAAAAAAATAATAATCCCAAAATACATTTAAACGACACTGTTGTTTTACTCAACTGTTTTGGGACACAGCACAAGCATTGCGATGGCTGCAAGTAGTACATCCCAAAACACTCGCTCCAAAATAGAGACAGGTACAGAGAGAATCCACCACTCCATTGCCACTTACTGATTCCATTTCAATAACAGTGATGTCCTTGCACACAATCACTGTCAAAGCTTTAGTGAATTTCCACGGGAGGAATTCATTTCCTTCCTTCCAAGCCAACCCTCTGCCTTCTCAGGTTCACCACGGAGGTGTGATGTCGTCACAGTAAACAAGTCAAGTCAGGTACACAAAGTTCTTCACTTTCAGGTTTTATCATATTCAAACATCACTCCTTATTCCCTTGCTTTCAAATATCTGATCATTCAAATACCACATAAATGATCATCTCTATTCTCGATCAAAAAGATACAATCTTCATACCAATACAATATTTGTAAAATTGATTTGAGAATGAACACTTTTTCTTGAAGTATTTTTTATTTCTAAATTGACCATAAATGTTACATATGTGGTCATCGAGAGTAACTTCTGGCATTTTATTTCCTCTTCAATCATTTCTGAAGTCACATAAACAACACGGGTTCATAAAAGAGATTGATTCCTTGCCGTATA